CCTGAGATACAAGGGCATACAGTGGAAGTGTAATGTAGCTGCACAAGAATTGGACAGCCGCCCTGCAAAATGCCATAAAGAAGCAGGAAGTTAATACAAAGACAAAACACATTATATTAAAAAAATTTACAAAGAGATCAATATAAACATTTTGCTTAGCCATAGTTGGAAAAAGGAGTAACTTGTACACGTACTGGTTAAAATTTCATATATCCAAGATTTTAATTTGTAGAAATTAAACCAGCAAGGAAAAAAAACCCTAGTCCTTGGGGGAGAAAAAAAAAATCTCTTAACGAATACATAAAGGGAAGAAACTAAACGTACCCTATGCAAACTCTGCCAATGATGAGCTTAAAATTTTCATGAAAGCAAGATCTCAGCCCGAAATCATACTGCATGGTGAGAAACAGTTCATATTAACATAAGCAAAAAATAATTAACTAAAAATATTAGTAGAAAGAAACCCTTACCCATATCCAAAAGAAATATGTTATTTGAAATGCATTCTGTATAAAACAAGGGGAAAAAAATACTCATCAGACTTCACAAAAATGATAAACCATAGGAATTCTTGCTACCAACAGAAAGTTATGAGAAGATATCAAATAGGAAAAATGTTTCAGGTTTAAACCTGAAATAATGTAAAATGAATGAGAGACAATATTAGTTGAGGTCGCCGGAACCAAAAATGATTATCACCAAGTTGCACCAGAGGGATTCCTTGAACAACTGCATGCCTCTCTTGAATCTCAATGGCCATCTGTGAGATGATAGCCTGAAGTTTTGTACCAACAGCAAGGATAATCTGCATATCTCAAAGTTAGTAGCCTTAGTCACTTACGAAAAAGGTTATCTAGATTTTTTTGAGGAACAGTTATCTAGATATAAGTACCTCAAATCTTCACTAATTCCGTACTAGTCCTTCAAAAAATTGAAATTGCTCATACATCCCTCAAATCTAAGGGTCTTGTAACTTGATACCTGAATGACCAAAATACCACTAAACTAATACTTTTTTTAAAATAAACAAGAGGGATTTTGCGGGAAACATAAACTGAGGGGTATTTTGGTCGACCAAATTGCAAGACATCTTAGGATACGCAGGGCTTATGAGAAATTTCAAAAGATTTGATGGACTACACGACTAATATCTAATAACCAAAAAAAACCCAGAGTTTAGTGCTTTGATTTTACTTACAATTGGTGGAAGTAGCGTTACCCAAAACAACTCCTGCCATCCTGAGAATTAAGATACCATCGGTATTGAGGATCCTATTTTCTTGAGCTCGTAAAGTGGAGGATAGTTAAAGTGAAATACAAGTACATTTAACTTACCATGAACATTCAGCAGCAAAAAGAGCACAGCAGAAGCCCATAAGACAGGACTGATCAGTCATCAGAAGAAATATAGTCAAAATTAATCAATATCTTTCCTCAAGAAAAAACAAACAAACTACTTTGCACTGAAAATATAATTAAAAGGACAAGCCTCAGTTCAAATGGAAACACATTCAATCAAAAAACCATAAAGGATTTCAGATAAAATGCATTATGAAGAACTTGTTAGCAAATTGTTCGAGTACAGCTACTATGTACCAGTATCATCGATAACTTGATACATCCAGCACAAATAAACTTTTAACATGATGAATATAATAAAACATGTAGAATGATTTCAAAGGATTTCCCATTTTATAATAATAAATAATGGATAAGTATATGAATTTGATATATAAGAAAGAAATAGCCTTCTCATTACCTGATTCCAACAATTAATTTGAAGTCATCTTCCAGCGATCTCATTATATACTTTTGGAAGTTGAACTTGCTTCCAGGAGCCAGATGCATCTGCACAAAATATATAGTCAATAAAAGCACATATAAAAATCCATAAGATGATGAATGCCAATTACGCTTAAAACTCACATTGATGAACCCATGGCGCATCGCTAAGTAATCTGTCTTGCGAACAGACCTAAGGAACTGGCGAAAAAAGCTGACCTGGAAGTAGATAATTTTTTGAAGAATTTAGCTATGTCATTAAACATCAAGAGGTTAATGAAAGTACATTAGGTTCTATCATTTTTTGGGAGCCTTCACAAATTAGAGTTGTGTGTCATATTTTTCTCCATTTTAATGAGGGAGACAGAGATTTTGATGAGGGCAAGTTCTTGTGGCCAAATCATTTAGCTATTTCATAATATTCCAGAAGTATCGGTGTTACTATTGTTATTAGAGCATAAACTACTATTCCGGATCGGATTGAGAAGATTCATTACAATGTATAGAAAGATAGGGACCCTATTCCAGAAACTTGTGTGTTGTTTCACAAAAGACGTCTCATGAGCGAATCTGAATCTCGAAGGATCTGCATGATGTACAAAATAAAAGAATTCAGAAATGAAGAATAGGTCACTACAAGTCCCAAATCTTCATCATAGTTTCTACCCCTTTCTAAAACCTGATAGAAAATTTCTTAATACAGAAACAGATACTAAGGGATATACATTGTAAACACATGTTTGTCGCAATTATGGAGCAATAGAACGAGCAAACATATGTTTAATGTTGCTTGTAAAGTTAATATATTGTAAAATTAAAAAGAAAAATAATTATAAATGAAATGAATATCTAGAAGCAATACCATTAGAGAATTCATAATCTATAGATAGAGTCTCCTTCTCCCACTCCTTCCACCTACGAATCTACATAAAAAAGGAATCCTTAACAAACAAATATTCATGTAAAACTTAACAAGGACATCTAACTTGGTCATACAAACTTAGAAATTAAAGTTTCTGCTTATTAGAGCACTATATACTACATGAAATATTGCCAAGAAAAAAATGAAGATATGCAGTTGATGTAGTCCATTTATTGAAACAAGTGGCACCTTCCCCTGTTTATAGAAGAAGTTTAAGATTTCATTGACTAGTACATAATACGGTTGGACATATAATTTCATGATATATACTTCTTAGACAATATATAATAATATTGCTATTTTTTAAGGTTTTACAATTGACCAAAGTTCCGTACAAAAAAAGAATCAGATATTAAGTAGCTATAGTTACTTAATAGTTAGTATGTCTTCTAGCATTGGAAAGGATAAACATAGATCGTTTTCGCACACAGAGTATCAATAATAATATCTCAACATCATTTTTTGGTACGAGCCAACATATGAATAGTACATACAAAAAAAAGTCTATTATCATGTACTATATACAATTTGAAAAACTTGAATGATTAGATATCCAAGAAATGTATGTGCCAAGTGCCGACTACTGATGAAAGGCTTGTAAATCATTATATGATCATTTCCCTTTAAAGTATTAGTGAAGTTGGCTCCTAAAGTATCAATTTACCTATTTGCCCCTCAAACTATGTTTACGATTTTGGTGTCTCCCAGAACTTATTTACCCTTTAACCCTTTTTATGAAATAAAAATTATTTTTAAATTGCAAAAAATACAAGGAACACAAAAAATACTATCACATCATTATTCTATTAAATATTTCACTTTAGGCTCATAAAATGATACACATTGGAAGCATACACATAGTTTATGAGGAAATATGTAGATTGATACTTTAGGGGGCAACTTGAGAATTCACCAATACTTTATGGAGGAAATGATCATTTTGTCTTATTCCATTATGAAAGCAAACCGTAAGAGGTCAAGTCCATTTTGGGGATTTATATTGACACTGTAAACTAAGAGATATTGCTGGCATTGTCCGAAATCTACAATGATGCACCATGTATTTGAAAACTTCAGTGACATACCTCCACCTTCCTCTAACAGAGCATCACTCTCATACAAGTGATATGTAAATAATCAAACACATTAATACATTTGCTAGTTGATATCATTATGTAATTGCATGAATCATCAAATATACTTATAGGTTCTACTTACCTTTGGACATGAACTTGGTACATCGGCTGCTAAAATCCTACGACCACTAGAGTTTGTAGCTAAATCCCATAGAAGTTTCCTTTTAGGACTCTCATCATGATGATCTTCCTCCATCTTATTCCGGTTACAAGGCAACATGGTATCTGCAACTTTCTCTGGTATGCATATTTTGGCTATGTAACTTTGCCCAAATGTCAGAAGCAAGGAAATAAATCCAAGAACCATCAACTCTGAAAAGGAGGGGGAAAAGAAGAAAATTAGAAAAATTGAATACAAGAACAAAATGGATAGGCCAATTATTAAAGACAAAAACAAAAAAAAAACCCAATTAATAAAAGGTTAGCATACAGACTAAAAATTTGACATGATCCAGCTGAGGACAAATGTCTAATAATGGAAAAAAGGGATTTTTCTGTAAGATCATACCTGCTTTTACTTTCTCAAGTGCTTCATACAGAGCCTTCTTCCTCTTTTCTGTAAACCACTGAAATAAATTAAAAAAAATTGTTACCCCAAAATTATTATTTTTTCCTGAAAGCTATTAATAAAAGGAAATGACAACTTCCGCATCTTAAATGGTGATCAATTAGGATAGAACTTGAGAACTAGAACTCCATTATAAGTAAATAAAAACAAACATAAGAGAGAGCTGGGGAAAAAATTTAAGTGATAAATATAAGAACAAGCACAATGAGATTTCTTTCTGCAAAAAGTCCCCAAGGAATAACATAAAAATCAACAGAAACTAGAGAGAACTTTAAAACCCAAATAGAAGAATATCATTAACACCAAACTGAAGAAATTTCATTAAACTAACCCAAGTAACAAAAATCAAGAAATTACCCAAAACCCCAAAGGAAAAAAAAATGCAAGTTTCCAAATGGCACAACAGAGGAACCACAAATTTCATCTGTATTTTACACTAGCAAGACCAAAACTAACACCAGAACCATTAAGAAAAATACAAAAGATCAAAAACCCATTTCAGAGAACCCAAAAACAAGGTAAAATTTCTCAAAAAATAATTAAAGAAAATTAAAAATTTGGGTACCTGGCCAATGCGATGAAGACCCTTTTCAAGTAAAATTGAGATAATAACTATAATGGCGCAAACTGAGGCAACAGCCCATGTGGGCGTTTGGTCTAGCTCTCTGGAGCTCCCTCCTCCTCCTCCAGCCATTCTCTCTCTCTCTCCCCCCCACTCTCTTTCTCCCTATATAAATAGAGCCCGCTATTTCCCCCCCCCCCCCCCCCCCAGCCATTCTCTCTCTCTCTCCCCCCCACTCTCTTTCTCCCTATATAAATAGAGCCCGCTATTTGGTTGGGAGAAGAGAAGGGGATTTTTGTTTTTGCTACAAGAAGCAGAGGAGAAAATAGGAAATTTTTAGATAAATGAATACCCTTTTTTTTTTTTTTGAAAGAGCTTACTCTCTGTTTTTGTTTACCATATGGCAGGGGTGGCCGGATTTTTGTAAGTTAAATAATGTAAAATAGCGGTAAGAGTTACGGTCGGCAATAAATTCAATGTGTTTTTTTAATTGGTAATGTTGTCTTGAGATCCAATAGTAGGTTAGACCCGTTAACCCGAATTTCTAAAATAGCGGGGGACGGAAAAAGTCTTCCAGTTGCATGGAGATTTTGTTTCTCAAATTGTTTTTTTTGGATAAATTTCTCATAAACCCCTTATCTTTTGGTTATCTTTTGCTCGATTTAACGACAACTGCTCTGGACTTTAAAAATGCCACTTAATCCTCCTAATTTTTCCACTTATCACAAACCATGTATTACTTTTGCAATATTCATGCCACCCCCCCCCCCCCCCCATCCCCCCCCGCCCCAATAAATGTTGAAACTTTGGATATTCTTAAAATAAAAAAAAAGAAAATTTGGGAGATTTCCTGAAATAATGTTGTAAGTTAGGAGGTATTTTGAAATTTTGGGGGTTACACAGTTGGAGGGCCTGTTGAAGTGGTCACATTGAAGAAATTGCAAATGTTCTAGGGTTTTGTGTAGGGGTGTAAAAAAATATCTGTACCAGTGATATATTTGTATTTACACCTTAAAGGATACAGATATAGTTACTATATATTTGTATTTACACCTTAAAGGATACAAATATAGTTACTATTTATTTGAATTGAATATGATTACGAAAATAGATATGTAGCAAAATATTCGGATCTGTATCCGAAGTATTCGAATACATCTTGGTCATACTGTTGTAATAATTTTAATCCTTAGATTAATAAATTTGAGGTTTATTTTGATGATTAAGAGATCTAGTATTAGTTTTTTCATATATAACAAACATATTAATGAACTCTCTTGTGTCATATGAGTTATATTTTCTTAATATTATTTGGTTTTATGATATCTGTTTCGTATCTGTTGTTATATTCGCATGAAAATCCGTATCCGATTTTAACAGATATTGATCTAATTTTTTTCCTTACCGAGATATATTTGTATCTATATCTTTATCCATAATTGATAAATGAAAATGGCTCTGATAAGATTCATATCGGAGCCATATCCAGACCGTTTGCACCCCTAGATTTGTGGTACGCCCAGAGGCTGGGAGGTCAGATGAAATTTATGAAGTTCAAGGGGTTGTCTTAAGGTGAATTTTTGCTTAAAACACAAAACCCCTTTCAAAATGATTTATGTATTAAGTTTTTTGTATAATGATCCTGACTGTTGTCTGAGAAAGATTTTTTTTGTTTGCGTACACCACTTTTAAAAGATCTGACCCCCCCACCCCCCCCCTAATTTTAGTGTAGATTAGCATCTTACATGTGTTGAAATGAGATGCAGCGAGGGGATTAGGAAGTTGGCCGCTTTAGTGTGTCCTCGCGGCCTGCAGCTGCTCGTTATGCTTGCTGTGCCTGCGGCTCGTTGCCTGTGCTCTTGTCGCTGCGCGCGCCGGGAATCGCCTTAGTCCTCTGTTATGGCTTGTGGCTGCTGTGCTGCGGCTGGGCTCAACCCCCGCCGAGGCCGATGCGGCTGCTGCGCGTGGGTGGAGCTCTCCCTGGTGCCTGCCGCCTCTTGTGCGCCTGCTGCCCCGCTGGCTGGGCGCTTGAGTGCAGAGACTCTTGCGGGTTGCGGGCGTGACGGGGGTTTTTCTGGCGGGGGCTGTTGTCGCTTTTCGGTGGTCGGGTAGTTGTTCTTTGTCGGTCATGGCGGCTTTGGCCGGGGGCGTGGTTGGTCGTCATTCTATGCACCTTCTCACGCACTCCTGCGTCTGTGCCGGGTGCTTATATTTTCGCATAAACAAAGAATATGCAGCGGAAAATAAGAAATAAAAAACTAAGAACAACCAATACATGAGCATAAGAGATTTTTTATAGCGGTTCGGATCAAAATCCTACATCAACTCCTCCTTTTTGCAAATGACCTTCTTCACTATGACCGGAGTTATCCCTGAATCATAACTTAATTCAGTAAGCTTTATAAACATAATCGTGAAATCTATCTGAAACCAGCCGAGACACCCAACTCCTCACAATGACCAGAAGAAACTTAACCCTAACTAGTCACACTTAACTACCTTGGCTTTAGCACGCCAACCCTCAATTACTCCTATTTGAGTACGTCGTCGAACTCTAAGTTTGAAATACAATACCAACTCTACAACAGTTAAAGCACAATTAAAAAGATCTTACAGCCTTTTAAAGCAAATCATTCGTCAAATCAATGTCGATGATGATCCGTGAATAAGAGATGTTAGAGTTAAATGCAAAGGGCACTCATCCTCGCTGAAATGATCTCTCGATGTTGAGCGTGATGAGAAAAAGTTGAACTAGGCTCAGAGAATCAAATTCTAACTCACAATCTCTATCAAACCCTAGAATTTAATCTCACAAACTTTTGTAAATATCCTCTCTTTTTCTTGTTATTAACCTCTTCTCCAATCCATCCTTAAATAGATTTTGATTGCATTGGAAATAAGTCTTCTAATCAGTATTGAAATAGGAGATTAAATGTTGATCAAACGACTGAGATTGAATCTGAAAATCTGCCAAAACGCGTCCATGCCATTGATGGTTAAATGCGATCATCGATGGTTGATGCAGATCATTGATGGTTCACTGTAGTTTATCGATTGTCCAAATTTTAATTTTTAAAATTCACAGATTGTTGACTATAGTCCATTAATTGTTCTATTTCTTGTTTCTGAAAAATACAGATTGTTGACGGTAGGCCATCGATGACCTATAGACCATTGACAGTTACCTCTTGACCATCGATGATTAATAGTTAAAATCAAATGTTTGTGTTGAATTTTGCATTGTTTTGAGCCGAAACTTTTTTTTACATGTTTATTACTGAAATATATCATCTCACAGACTTATTAGTACCAAATGAGAGTTTGTTATTGATTAACCAATAGATATTGCACGAACATCGTTCTCCACGAACAAAGTTCTAACAACATCTTAAAGACAAAGATTTTTTTAGTGAGAAAATAAAGAAAAAGAAAACTATCTTATAGGTATGGTTGTTTGAAAATGACTTGATTATTGTCTGTTCTAATCTATATTTATACGCATGGAAGAAAATATTTTGCAAATGAATATAACATTACATTTGTTTGAACTGGCTACCAATTAGCGAATTGATTTGATGTGGGGAAAAATCCTCATCAACGAGCAAAAAATCTACGGGAAATGACAAACTGAAAGGGGATTAGCCTGAAAAAGACCATTGACTTGGACGCACCAAAGTTAATTGTTTTGATGTGTGGAAAAATCCTCATCTTGTCCGTATAATTAGGGGTCGAAACTAGTACCACAATATGATACAACTAATGAATATGCAACCTAGCTAGTGATAAATGTAAATATTTACAAAATAGAAACTACTCATACGAGTATATATGTGTAAAAAACTTTTGGAATGCATAGAAAATATAATAACTAAAATTTATAGGTCTAAAGTGTAATATATAAATGAATAGTTTATTAAACGAATGAATCACATATACCCATTGTTAAAATTCTATTCATTTATGAACTAAATACTAAAACTATTCGTTTACTTTTTAATGAACTGTTCAATTGAATATAACTAAATACTTAAGCGAATAAAATACCGAACTATTTGTTAAATATTTAGTTTGTTTCCACCCCAACATATGAAGAAGATAATGGAGCTTCTGTCTTCTTGTTCTTAAAAAAAACTTTTTAATTATTTATTTAATATAGTTTAAATTAGTATAGTTCAAATTAGTCAAGTTAGTCGCGTCAAATGTTGAAGCTTTCGGAACGGAAAATTAAACAAGTAAATTGCAAGATACCTCATAGAACATTTCAGTTGATTGGTTGAGAGGATATAAATCTGCAAAAGCAAATAATTTGGTTGAGATGAAATAGGCAAAAACAAATAATGTAGGCATAGTTAGCTTGGTGGTGATAAAATCATAAGATTTCCAGAAAGGGTATAGTGACCATTTCTTTTAAAGTATTGATGAACTCTCAGCTTTCTTTTTAAAGTATCAATTTACTCATTTTCTCTCTTAAATTAAATTTATAGGCTCATTCTGACAGTTTTATGAGCGCACAGTCAAATATTTAATAGATCGAAATTAAGCACGACAATATATATAATTCCATCATGCCAATTACTTTCCCCTAAACTTTTTTACCTTCTATCTTTCTTCTTTCTTTCTTTCTTTCTTTCTTTCTTTTTGTTTTTTTAGTCCAAGTTCATGTTTTAAGTTGTGGAAAATACGAGAAAAGGATAAAATATGTCACATTGTCGATGTACTAAAATCTTTGTTAGTATTTGTTTGTAAAAATAAGATAGTCCCACATCGGATATTTGAGCATTCTTTTAGAAGTTTAAAAGCATTTAATGGTTATTGGGCTTTGATAAATTGATCAAAGTACATGCTTCTAAACCCGCGTGCGAGTAGTGCGATTTTGAAGCACTTTGCACGCTTGCCGCTGCCGTTTAAATATTCTAATTTTTAAATATATATATTTTGAACATATTATTTTTAATGTTATTTTGAAAATTAAAAATATGAATAGACAAGTGGCTATTGAAAAGTGTCTGTTTGTTGCAATAGGTGTTTTAAAAAGTTATGACTGTTGGAAGCACATTTTCAAACCTATACATAGTTTATAATTTCAGATATATTTACTTTATTTTTTTCAAAACTTTACTATCAAAAACATCTGCAATACTACAAACTTGTTTCACAATGAATAAGTGGAAAATTCCAGATT